CAACTTACACACAGATGACATTCTCCCATTGTTGTTGATTGGAACTAACCAGTTTTTCATTGAGGCACTAGTGGAAGTGGTCTCACTTACTTGGGTCCTTGAGTCCTTCAACACTGACCTTCTGTCATGATTTTTTTTGCAGCAGCTGCCATTTGGGAGCCAGTTTGAGTGACATACCTGGGTGGAGGAATTGGTGATCAGTCCAGCAATCGTCAGCTCTTAGCGTGGCTCATGTTATGTGGACATATTTGGGATTGCAGCAATGGATGAGGTGCAAATGCCTAGATAATGGATGTTTCCATGATGTCTTGGGCTTGTTTTTCTGGGGGAACAGAGTGTTTGTGATTGGAAGTCCCTGTTCTGTGCATTTGGTTGAGAGGAAGATGCCATTGGAGTTGACCTTTTCTACTCCTTCCTTGCCAATGGCTCCATTCCAGAGGTTTGAGTCCCTTCTTATTCTGGCATTCAAAATCACCAAGAAGAATAAGCCTGTCCCCCTCCAGGATGTCAGAAAGGACTTGGTTAAGGTTGGCATAGAATTCCTTCTTGGTTTCATGGATGGTATCAATAGTCAGAACATAAGCATTGATGATAGTCGCATATTGGCTCCTTACCAGTTTAAGATGGAGAGGTGCTTATTGATCCTAATAGGGAACTCATCTAGTTGGTTTATCAGTTCATTCTTAATGGGAAAACCAGCTCCATGAAGCTGTTGTTGTTCTTCCTGTTTACCCTCCCAGAAGAAGGTATAGCCGCATCCATGTTTGTTAAGCTACCCACCTCTCACTTGTGTCTTGCTCAGTGCAGCTATACTGACATTATGCCACCTGAGTTGTCAGGCCAAGATTCCAGTGCAGCACTCTATGCATTCACTATTAGGGTTGTCCATGAGGGTCCTGACTTTCTGGTTCCCGAAAATGTCGATATGTCTTCACTGCTATTCTCAAGTGCAGTAAATATGATGCCAACAGATGCAATTACCCAGTCAGGAAGAAATACAGAATACTGTATTAGACAGGCTATGTTTAGGGCACCGTTTCTAGCCCCCTCACCATGTGGGCTGAGCAGAATGGATCCTGAAGAGGGCTGCTCAGTCACAGTTACAGCTGCCAAATTGCACTCCTGTCTCATCCAAGTGCTAGATGACCTTCTTTTAACTACCACCTTCTTTTAACTCCCTATATCATTGCAGGCTTTTGGGTACAAATACCCCTTTGTCAGGCTGAGACGAAGCATCTGTGGTTGTTCTGTGCTCTTCCTGGACTATTCATTTAATCCAGGAATGTCACAGGCTGGCTAGGTGCTGTGAGTGTATCAGCCATTAGGCTGCTGGGTTCGGGATCGAGGAGGTGAGTCGAGAGTGAAGTAAAGGCAAATTTACTCATAACTTAGCATACAACAGTTAACAGAAAGGTTAATGCGACAAACGGATAGTACAGTAATAAAGAGTTAATAGTAATAATAATAACAGATAGAATGACAAAGAGTTCTCACATGGGGTTGGCAACTTATCAGCAGTCCCCCTGTGCCAGGTGCACACCAAGTTGTTCCAGCAAAGTCAGGTGTCCCCGATCAATGCTGTCCAAGGGGTCACCGGGAAGATTCCTTGGTCAGGATCCGGTCCTCACTGACACTAGGAGTCTGGGGTCCAGGCTTGGTACAGCGATGGTCCTTCTGTCCTGTCCTTCAAACTGGTCACTTGACAGGTGCGTTCCTTTATACCTTATTTTATGCTAATCTGTTGGCTTTAGAGCCACTCACAATCTTGCCCTATAGCTGTTACCCTATAGGATTAAAAGGTGTTAGAAAGGTTACCCCTGGAACTCAGGTTCACCCAATAAACAAATTACACCACATTACTTGGAGGTTGGAAATTAGCATTACGCTGCCAAAGCTCAACCCCTTGGTTTCCTATTCCTTGGATTCCGTGGAATGTGCTAATTATATTAGATGGTCAGATCTTGTTATGGCTGACCTTTAAAACACCTGTTAGACCAGCTAATCTTGTAGTTCTGCTTATTTTCGGGGCCCAGTCAGTCCCACGATCAGTGCAAACAATTAGATTCAACACTTTGGTTAAATTGTGATGGACAAATTGCACTTGTGGGTTGCAAACTTGCTAGCTTTGCATTATCTAATCTTAACTGCTAGACAATTGCCTGGATGTCTCCAAGAGCATATATTTATTGTTCATGATAGTAACCCCTCTGGTTCTGGCCACCACACAGGAAGAGCAGAGTACAACTGAAGACACTTCCTCAGCCTGACAAAGGATATTTGTACCCAAAAGAAGAATTTTTGCAACTATTTGAGTTGCTCTAATGAAAGATACCAGATTTACCCAAATAACTTTGTTTGCTTCAGGACACATGTTGACATCCAATGTTCATTCTGCTCAGGCGCCGCCCCACCACTTAAGTCTTCTGGACCAATTGCTCCAGGGTCCCTGCAGCCTGATCTCACCTGTGTTACTTTCCTTTTACATCTTCTGGCTGTATCCCTGATATAGACAGTTTCTTCACTGGAAAATGAAATAATGTAGAACAAGATGTAGCCTCACAGAAGTGCCAGTTTAACTAATTGGCTCATGTTGGCTATATCGAAACTTTACTTTTCGTTATGAAGTAAAATACTAAGAAGCCAATATTTATGATAGCTGTGCTTGATGCCAGAAAATGGGAAGACCTCCACATTCACTGTTACTGTCTGGCTCCTTTTTCTCGAATATAGTCATCAGTCACTAACCCAAACACTGATACTTTCCGGTTAGGAATTATGTATGTATCTAGTCCATTGCACAGTAGATTTCTTCAAGGATAAAAGGTAAGTGCCGATGTTGCGCGACAGCCTGTAGTGGAGTAGAGTTGATTGGGCTTGATACTGAGAACCACCTGCTAATATTGTAAAAGACCTCAGAAAACAATTACAGTCCTTCAAAGGACCGGGGTATAGAGAAAGATTACTTTTTAATGATTCTGTCTGTGCCACCATTCCTCCTAAAACGACATCTTTTCATCAGCTTCCGTTCCATTTCTGCGGTATTTCAGTCCCTTTAGGCACGCCGCTAGTATTGACAGGAAGGGCAGCACATCCTGATTATTATAGACAGAGTTCGTGAGGCAAACTCTACTCTTCTGGCACTACACATAGGAAGGCGGGATCATCTTTGCCACTTTCAAGAAGAAGGGCAATGAAAGGGAACTTGCTCTGATGATAAGTGAGCACAATGGATCTCAAATACTCTTTTCTGCTTTTTTGAACTAGTGACCATGGAATACAACCCGATCGTACGCCAAACTTGCAACAATCTTACTGTCGGTGGGTTTTATTTCAATCCATCGCAGAGCGGGCAGGATAACCACGCGGGATTAGGTTTCCGGCCCGATGCATTCAGCTTGGGCGGAACTGCATCGCCTGGCAAGAGCTAAAACACGTGAGATTTGTATGTTTCTTCGTTACCCGGAATTGCAAAGGTCCACTCCAGGCAGCAAGAACGGAAACAAGCACCTGAAGCTGGAAGCGGCAGGCGGAAAGCGGGTTTCCCGGAGTTGAGTCTTTCCACCGCCCAGGGAAACGGAATAGAGGAGACTTCTCGGGGAGGAATGAGAAGCGATGTGAATGGGATGTTCCCAGTGAAGCCTGGCCATGAGCAAGAAGCAGCAGCGGGCCTTTGTAGCGCTGCACTCCGATAACTCACGCCTGGCGCGGTTGTCTGGGGCGTTGCTACTCGAAGGACGTAGATGGAGTCCGAGCCAAGTGGAGAAGCGGCTCAGGGCTAGTTGGGGCAATAGCGCCGAAGCCGCCCGCGCCACCGGGCCGGGCTAGTATTTCACATATGTGCACTGTGCTTGCCCAGCCTGGGCAGGGACGATGCTGGAGGGGAGCGAGGCGGTGGCGGTATTGCATTCCCGGGAAGTCCCAGAGCAGATGAGGCTGAAGTTGGTTCCTTATTCCCGGGTTCTAGCGCCTCATCACAGAAGCTGGGGTTCAGCTCCTGCGAGATGGAGGGAAACAGGTAGGGAATGTCAGCGTTTCAAGAGCAGCACCCTTCTAGCCAACCTGTTCCAAGGTCCCATAGAGACGAGCCAGGGTCGGTCACCCATCAAGTCCAACGCTGAGTCCTATAGGGAGGAGGGAAAAGCAGCTTTGCAGAGCGTCTGTACTAGTAGTTTTAGAGAAGGAATCCTCCCTCGGCCTCGGCCTTCTGGGCGTCCCCAGTCAGCCAGACCTTGCTTCGCTGGGGCCACTGGACTCTGTTGCTTGCTAGAAGCCCGTGCATGCTCCCTGTTCGGGAACCCAAGACAACAGAGGAGGAGCCTGCTCCCTTCCCCAGCTCCTCCAGCCTCATTGCGGTCGTGCGAGCGCCAGAATCCGCCGGTGAGTCGTGTGTCTGCAGGCGCAGACCTTTGAAGACTGCGGCCCCGGTAGGGACCCTGGCTCCATTCTCAGGGGAACTGGTCTGATGTGGTCACTCATCCACTTCTCCCGCCTCCCCCCCGCACCGACAGGAAGCTTTCGTTGTTTAGACATCTGGGAACGTCCTTCGCCGAAGCCACTTCAACACCTCGCGGGAAGCCATTACTGCTCCCCTCGCCGCCCACCAGGACACAGACCGGGAACCTGTAAAGGAGCTGCTTAGCAGAGCGGGGGTCGGCTCTCTTTCTCTGCGGCACCATGCCCACAGCCTTTCCTTTTGAAACAGGGCTCTATACTGTATACGTGTAAAGGAATACGCGGATGCTCCCAACCGTCAGTGTTGTACCTGGTGGGAAGGGAGTGCGCAAACAAGACAAACGTTAATAATTATAATAGAAATTAAAATATAACCATCTTTTACACAACGGAAACCTGTTAATGGTTTTTTTTTCCAGTATAACAGTTTAGGATGCTCTCATTTAAGTCTGAATCGGGATGGACAACGCCATTCATTGCAGGATAAAAGGACATATAGGAAGAACGGTACAATTTCTAAATGGCATTTACATGTTGAGACACAGGATGTCGCTGTTCTCCACAAAAAAATCTTTAGTGGGCTGGAAAATCTCAGCTCCTCCCTGATTCCGAGCTGACAGTTCAGTCCGAGTGCAGAGGAGGATGGCGGAATAGTCCTGGAGGCCCCGGGCGCCGATGTCCTGGATTGAAACCGGCTGGCGGGGATTTATGCAAGTATTCTCGTGTCTCACCAGCCACGCAAGTGCCGCTTAGTGTAACACCGCTTGGACCTGCCATGTCGGCGCCCAGACTAGGCGGCCCGGCGGGGAGGCAGCTGCTGCGTCTGGTGCTGCTGCAGGCGGCCTGGGCGGCGGGGAGCGGCCCGCTGCAGTACTCGGTGCCGGAGGAGGCCAAGGCCGGCACGCTGGTGGGCCGCCTGGCCCAGGACCTGGGGCTGGAGGCCGGGGAGCTGGCGGCGCGGAGGCTGCGGCTTGGGCGGGACGG